CCCGTTGAAGGTCACGGACACGCCATCGCCGTTGGCGACGATCGCCTGGGTCAGTGCTCCCTGGGTCTGCCCGTCGAACAGCGCGAGCAAGGCGCCATCGAAATCGTCCTGCAGCGATTGCTGCGCGAGCTGGCTGGTCCAGGCGTAGACCGCGTGAGCGGCGCTGCTGGCGTCGGTCGAATCGGCGCCGGTCGTGACGGTGGCGGTCGCGTCGGCCGTCGCGGTGGTCTGCAGCAGCAGCGTCTGCGCCGTGCCGCTGGTCCAGCCGCTCGAACCGTTGGAATCGATCACGTCGGGCGTGGCGCTGAAATAGAGCTGCGAATGGGCGATCTCGGTCAGCGCGCGCGCCAGCAGCAGGCCGTTGGGCGAGCCGAGACCGGATGGCGAGATCGTAGCCGGTGTCGGCCGCGTAGCCGTATCCGGTGGGGTTGATGCCGCCGTAATTGGCGCCGCCCAGCGAGAAGCTCGACGTGTTGTTGCCCAGCGTCACGTCGTTGAACGAACCCGGCTCGATCACCGACGCGAGGTACAGGAGATCGGTCATGTAACCGAGATTGGGGAGGTGCTGGTCGTTGAACACGTAGTTGATCTGCGTGATCAACCCCGCCCAGAACGGCGTCGCGGCGCTGGTGCCGCCTTCGCCGACGAGGCCCGTCATGTCGGCGCCGGGCGTCGTATAGAAGAGGTTGCCGCCGGCCGGCGCCACCACGTCGGGCGTGCCGCGTCCGGTGAGGCCCAGCGAGGTGTAGATCGCGGAAGTGAGGCCGTAATCGACCTGGTAGTCCGGCGTGGCCTGCGTCGTGTCGATGCCGCCGAGCCGGTGTTGTTGGTCTGGTAGGAGCTGCCGTTACTTCCGTTGCCGCCCACGAAGGTCTGGTGATCGGTCGTCTCGTATTCGTTCCACACCGTCTCGACCAGCCAGTCTCTGGACGCCGCGGTGCTCGGCAGATGATTGAGCCCGCCGCTCATGAGCGCCAGAGCGTGGCCGCGTCGCCCGCCATCGGCGAGGTTGTAGATCGGCGTGAAGTTGGGATCGGTGCCGTTCAGCGTCGGGTCCTGCGCCGCCGCGTCGACGGTCGAGATCGACGTGCCGCCGACCAGGAATGTTGTAGGGGCTGGTCTGGTTGTTGATCGGGGTGGCGAGGCCGTTGGCCGTCTGGAAGCCCGAGCCGCCGTCGCCCAGCGCGATCAGCGTCGTCTGGTTGGCCAGCGCCGCGTCGACGTAGAGCTGCATGTATGCGTAGTAGAAGGGCGAGTCCGGCGCCATATACTGGGCGTCGCCCCATGAGTCTGTCGTGACGGGGGCGGCGCCGGTCCACTGGCTGTTGCCGAGGTTGGACGCGGTGCCGAAGATCGAACTCTGGATCGCGGTGAAGACGGACGCCTGGGCGTTGCCGTTCACCACGTTGTCGCCCGAGCCATTGTAGAGGGCGAGGTTGCTGTTGGGATTGACCGCCGCGACGATGCCCACGTCGAGCGAGCGTTCGCCGGAGATGCCGCTCTGGCCATTGACGCCCTGCACCAGGACGCTGCCGGTGCCGCTGGTGCCGACCGCAGTCAAATAGCTGGTGAGTCGTGTCTCGAACTGGCTGCCGCCCTCGTCGCCGGTGAGCGACGTGCCGACGCCAGGCTCGATCAGGCCGATCGTGCCAGTCTGGTAGTTCGCGCCGACC